CACACACACACACACACACACACACACACACACACACACACACACACACACACACACACACACACACACACACACACACACACACACACACTACATTGCCAAAAGTTCTTGCTCTCCCATCCAAATGACAAAGCAGTTTTTTTCATGAGTCTCCTTCCTCCTCCTGGTCACTGTCATCTCTGGAACTGCCTTGTAAAGCAGCAGTATGTAATACTTATATGTAACACTGTTATAAAATACTGTAAGGCTTCAAAATATAATAAAACGCACTAAAACCACATTATTAGTCTTCAACGCATTTTGTAATACTTTTAGCTGCATTGTGTAATAACGTTATTACATTCTGCAGCGATTCTTAAAAAAATGCAGTGGTTGATCTTTATAGAAATGAGTGTAATTATGTGGTGCATTATGTCATAAATAATCAGAAAACAGTGTTTGTGTTCAACCTAATCAGTACACTTATAACCATCATGTTRCAAATAGTAAAGATTTAAATCATTGAAACTTTGGTCGATAAATGCCAAACTTCTCTTGCCTATTCATAGCCAGATTCCTCTGTATTATTCTAAAGGTTRTTCAAAGCAGATGATCATCACGCAAATAGCTTTTTTTTTTTTTTTACTGATTGGCTTTCAGAAAAATGATAACCCATGTTTTGAAAAGCAAAATGGAAATGGTAAAATGTATCTGTTAACATTAAGTGAAAGAGGTACATAATCTAACAATTTWATGCATATTGAACAGAACCAGGAAAATTTCCTCAGAGACACCTACGGAATTTTATTAGAGGGGAGCCTGTGCACAAACACAGTGAAGTAGAACTGGGTGAGGTCAGTGAAAGTAGTTTTTTATTTCATGAAGGGGAACAGAATGTGAACTGACACTGATTGTAAACATGATTCGCTCAAGAAAACCACAGCTCAGAAAGCTGTGTCAGTCTATGGACACAATCTGCYCAAATTCAAAGATGGCTGACAAAGTTCAGTTCAGTAACCAGAACAAAATGATGAAACGTTTGGCATTTACTGAACAAAATTTCAAAGATTTAAATGTGTAATTTCTGCAACACAAGGGTTATTACAAGTGTATTGATTACGATGAAGCTCCTCCTCTGGGCTGTGTCACCAAGTTGAGCTTCCTCATCACAGAGCACACCTCCCCCACCCGGCCCCATGCTGAAATGTGCAGGACAGAAGTGGAAGGAGGTTCTTAAAGAGACAGAGGCCAATTTCAAGGGGTTTCGAAACAGATATGATGARAAGTCAAGTTTATTTTCTACTTAAACCTATAAACATTTTAWTAACAACTGAAGGTGAGRCAGTTACTTTTGTTATGGTATAGAATTTAAATATATGCCTGAGAAACACATTATATTGCCCCTTTAAGTGAAATTGTGAAAAAACAGAGGAAAAAATGTTACTAGCACAAAAGTTCCAAATATCATTCCAAACACTTTTTGACATATGTCCCTTTTTTTCTTTTTTTCCAAGTTTGTTTAATAAGAAGCTGAGATAGTGACAGCAGATTTCAGACTGAGCTTACATATCTACAGTAAGTTAGCATCACAAGAGTCAGGCTGCAGTATTTGAAAAGTTACAGTGAGTTTAACACATTTCCTAAACCATGGATAAAAGAAAGCATAAATCATTGGATTTAGACAAGAGTTAATATAAAGCAGCCAGATACAGAAAACTGAAAGTTTAGAATTAATTGATGTGTCTTTGCCTGCAAGAGAGGGCAGAAAATAAGGACAGAAACATATTAAAAACAAAACAACAACAACACCAAGAGCTGTMGCTGCTTTTCTCTCAGACTTTTTAGCAGATACAGGGACTGATCCTTGTTGACTGACGGCTGCATTATGAGATCTCATGGCTCGAGCCTGAGACACAGCCACCACAAAAACTTTCATGTAGAGAACTATGATTGCTGTAATGGGTCCAAAAAAGGTAAATATAAAATCAAAAGTTCCCGTTTTAAAATCAATTACAGTCTTACACTCTCCATGACAGGAATTATATTTGTCTGGATGTTTTAGATGATCCCTCAGAATAATACCATTATACAGCACAGAGCAAGCCCAACATAGACAAACACTGATTTGAACTCTTTGTTGAGTCACTTTGATTGGATAATGCAACGGGTCACAGATGGCCACGTATCTGTCAACTGAAATGAGCACCATGTTACCCACTGAGGCAGATGTAAGTATAAAACTGGTATAGTTAAACACTCCGCACATAAAGCTCCCCCAAACCCAGCAACCTCCTGTCCTTAGGATTCTAATTGGCATCAGCACAAGTCCAACAAGAAAGTCTGCGACAGCCAGAGACAGGAGGAAGAGGTTGGTGCACGTGTGCAGCTGCCTGAAAGAAAGAAAAAAGTATGCCTTATTATAGTAAACACAAACATATATAAGCAAACAAAATCATTTGCACAGTTAGAATACATACTTTGATGTAAACATATAAACTATAACCAGATGTTTTTAAAGATTTTTGTAGATTTCATATATGACTACACATACACTACAGTCATACAAATTTTATATTTCAGTGTAATATTTGACTGTAATAAATTAAAGCTGGCTCTCAACATTCATAGAGACATTAATAATAATCACAAAAACGTCATTAAATATTGCAAAAGGAGCATTAGAACTATTAAATATTTACTGTATATACATCACACTGTATATTTGTACACCTGAAGTGGGAAATAGATATGATGACCAATAGGTTAAAAGTCACAGTCAGAAAAGAGATAATGGGCAACACAATGTAAAGAAAAATGTTCTCAGCATTATCTTGTTGGATCTCCCTGCAGGACGAGTTTAAGAGGTGTGGAAAACAGAGCCGAGCTTCATTAAGATTCTCCATAATCAGAGAGAAGACAGCAGTTGAGAAGCCGTTGACCTCTGGTAGCCGCTGTCTGACTCAACTTCTTATAAAATCTCACTATGCCCCTCCCTAATTTCTGGATCAGCACCACAAATTAAGTAATTTATCCATTTTCTTTACCTGATTTTCTGGGTCAGGGGGCGCTTGTGACTCACCACTCTGTGGAAGTTTGGGTACACCCTGAACAGGTGTTTTAGTCCATCACAGGGACTACATTCACATTGAATGTCTTAATGCTCAATACACTTTTTTTTCTCAAATCTGATTTATTTTTATTTTATTTGTGTGTGTGTGTGTGTGTGTGTGTGTGTGTGTGTGTGTGTGTGTGTGTGTGTGTGTGTGTGAATGTGTGTGAGAATGTGTGTGTGAGATCGTCCACATTATAATTCAAAATGGGGGGGGGATATTTTACTAACAACAGCAATGTAAAACAATGTCAAAAAATATAAAAATGACTAAATATTGCTTTCTACTACACAATTTATTTTTAATATTATAATACAGTATTAAGTGATCATATTTCACTTTGCTTGTACAGATCACTTATTTCAGATCAAGTTCATTTCACAATCATGAGTTCAGATGATGGCAGAGACACGAACRTGATTAAATCTGTTCCCCTCAATAACAGAAAGGGTTAAAGTTAGCAKGTCTGTGTTTGGCCTCAAATATACTTCAACTTCACACGCCTTCTAACGTCTGCATGTTTGAAGTGAATCCTCCTTCCCTCGATGTACTTAGTTTGGGTCACAGATTACATCAAGCCACCTGAATTAATCTGTATCCATCCCACAAAGGAACATATTTTTTCAGAGATCGGCTGCAGTTTTTGGCACAACCTGTGGTGGAATTTGAACAAACGAACCTTTGTTTCTGTTTTAAAGTAATTTACTTTTTTGTTATCTGAAACAGAATTAAAAAATAGTTATGTCACTCATCCCTTTTTTAACATTAAGAATGAGAATTGCCTTGTATTTTCATTCTTTTATTTTAAAATAAAAGTCAAACAGCCAACTCATTTGTTTTTAAATACCTGTTTCTAAAAGAAAAATTCAATGATCAAAAGTTACACTGACCTACACGAATTTACACGGACCACTATCATACTATTTACCTGTTGGGGCAATAGATCAGATTTACCAATCAATATTTATTCACCCTTTTTAATCAGAACCATAAAGAAACCAATTTGTCTTTATCATAATTTATCTCAAAAATAGAAAAATTAGCTTTTTTTGAATCATGGATAAAAATAGTAAAAGTTATAAGACAAAGRCAATAATGTTTTTAAAATAGTCTAAAAGATAAAAATTAATTTGGAGTTGATATAAGTGTAGGAGAAACGCTTATAAATGTATAAGGCTTCTTACACCTCTCATAACCAAAGTTAAGAGGAAATTATCACAGATTCTCTTATTTATCATCAATATCTCGGCTGTGCAAAGTGAATCACAGACACAAGTGAGCCAACTCGATCAGTTCAAATTGATCCATAAACAMAATGYGATCGTTTACAAACAAATCATGTGAACAACTTAATTGTGAGCAATCAGTTTTCARTTCAATTTAGTTTATTTATATAGCACCAAGTTACAACATGTGTTGTCTCAGGGTACTGTACATGAAAAAAGAACAAAGAAGAARCCAGCAGATTGTGTTGAATAACTGCATCACAGTCTCCCATCCTGAGCAAAYGGTGRAGAGGAAAAACTCCCTATAAACAGGAAGAAACCTCCAGCAGAACCAGGCTCAGGACAGGCGRCCATCTGCCTCGACTGGCTGGTTGAGGGACAGGAAAGAGACACAGGTAAACACAGAAGAACTGGTCCAGGTGCACCTACTTCTGGTGAAGAGGCAAAAAGAAAAAAAAACATGTTAATGATAGAAATAATTAAACATGTAGAGAAGAGAGATTAAAGACAACACGAGAGTGAGGAAATGTGCTCAGTTTGTGCTCCAGCAGTCTAAGTCTATAGCAGCAGAAATGACTAATAAATCAGGAAACCTAAGTCTAACAATAGGATTTATCAAAAAGGAAAGTCTTCAGTCTAATCTTAAAAGTAGACAGTCAGCCTCACGGACAGAAACTGGAAATTGGTTCCACAAGAGAGGAGCTTGATAACTGAAAGCTCTGCCTCCCATTCTACTTTTAGAAGCTCCAGGAACCACAAGTAAACCTGCAGTTTGACAGCGAAGTGCTCTYGTTAGGAAAGTGAAAGAAAATGTTTTTGTGTTCGTTACCAGGATGTGTGCTTAAACATATGGAGAATGTGCAAATGCATGGAAAGGATGATTAAAGAGAAACCCATACAAAACCAAACAGCGCTCTTTGCTGACGTCTGTTTTAGGAAGTACAATGGTATGGTGGCAAAATGATGCCAGAACTCTCGCGAGAAAAAATGAGATTTCACGCGCGCAAATTTAAATCCTGTGCGTGCCTTTTCATATCCGCGCGAGAGGGGATTGAGCTCCGCGAGCGGACATCTGCACTCGTGTGCACTTTGTCTCTCGTGCACAGAATCTCTGCCGGCGTGCACACTATTATCCTCGCGCGAGCCTTTTTTTTCTTCCCCCCCCCCTCACGCGAGCTTCCTCCGCTGTTCGCTCGCCAGTTACTTTTGGCAGAAGGTGGGCGGATCCAGGTTGGGGTTCTGTTAATACACACGATTGGTTAAGGTC